GCTCGCCTTGAGCTGAAGAACTGAGGGACAGCGCCCAGGCCCAGAGTTCAGGCCCCACAACTGACAAAAAAAACAACAACAAAAATACATTCCCAGCACAGAGCCATTTTTCCTTACTTCCTGTTATTTACTTATTTGTTGAGTTATCATGAAAGCAAGAACTGGGTCTTGAACTCAAGGCCTCCAGGGCTCTTCTTTGGCTCTTTCAATCAAGGATACATTTCCCTGCCTTGGTTGGCTTTGAAGCACACTCCTCAGATCACAGCCTCCTCAGTAGCTGGGATTATAGGTGTGAGCACCGGCACCTGACTAGCCTGCTCTTTTGTACTTTGGATTTTTCCGTATCCATCCCAGACTCATTGACTGTTCAGAAGGAGCAGGTTAGAACCGCCAGTGTTCATGTCTACTGGTTATATGATACGACATATATCATCAACTGTAGAATTTATAGTAATAACATTTATGTATCACGTTTCTCCTAAGACAATCCAATTTATAAAGTGCCTGTGGTGTGTACATAAGGCATAATCATAAATCATTTACATTAAACAATGCCAACAGGCAAAACATAAAGCTCCCCCTTAAATTCTCCACACTGGGATTAATAAGGTTTTTGGAAGGGAAGATATAAAAAGAAGGAAAGAGGGGGGGGACTAAGGAGGAGAGGGAAAGAAAGAAAGAAAGAAAGAAAGAAAGAAAGAAAGAAAGAAAGGAAGAAAGGAAGAAAGGAAGAAAGGAAGGAAGGAAGGAAGGAAGGAAGGAAGGAAGGAAGGAAGGAAGGAAGGAAGGAAGGAAGGAAGAAAGAGGGAGGGAGGGAGGGAGGAAAGCAAGCAAGCAAGCTGGGTGCCGGTGGTTTGTGTCTGTCATTCTAGCTACTCAGGAGGCTGAGATCTGAGGATCGCAGATCAAAGCCAGCCCAGGCAGAAAAGTCTGTGTGAGACTCTTACCTGCAATAAACTACTCAGAAAAGGGCAGGAATGGAGCTGTGGTTCAAGTGATAGTCTTGAGCACAAAGAAGCTCAGAGACAGCACCCAGGCCCTGCGTTCAAGCCCCAGGAAAGAACAATAGAAAGAAAGAAGGAAGGAAAGAGAGAGATAGAGACCAAGCCTTGATTCATGTGAGGGGTACAACACAGCCATGAGCATCCTAACTGGTGACTCACAATACCCACAGAACACCCTGGGAAATAGGAATGTTTCATGAAGCACACACAAAGCAACCCATCGTTATTCTGAACCTTCCCTTGCTTCTCTTCTTGGAGAAGAATAGATAGGAAATGAACACAGAGAGCAAGCAGACACGGATCACCTGTCTGCCATGTTTGTATCTGTAAGGCCCTGTTAGAAAACCTGAGGAAGATCATGGGCATTCATTGTTTTGATTTCTTGTTAAGGAAAAATTTCCAATCATTTAGCAGAGGCCTGAAATCTTGAATTGCAGGCAAGTGTGTTCTCCTTCCTTCCTTCCTTCCTTCCTCCCTCCCTCCCTTCCTTCCTTCTTTCCTTCCTTCCTTCCTTCTTTCCTCTTTCCTTCCTTCCTTCCTTTCTTTCTTTCTTTTCCTTCCTTCCTTCCTTCCTTCCTTCCTTCCTTCCTTCCTTCCTTCCTTCCCTTCTTTCTTTCTTTCTTTCTTTTTCTTTCTTCCTTTCTTTCCTTCTTTCATAAATCACACCAGATTTCCTTCTGAAACACAACCCCCATTCCTACTCCACAGCGGGGGAAAAATAGAGCAGAGTTTTCTGTGTGTTCCAAGAGTGGTCCACAGGATTAGTCGGCAACCAAATCAACATCAATCCATATGACAAGTAAAATTTAAAAAAAGAAGAGGGTTTTTAAAATAAATACAAAGAAGCTTCTGGAAAATAGACATCCTATTCAGCTAGATGTAAAGCCCCAAAGAATGATCGAATCCAAGAAATACTACCGGGTACCACCAAAAGAAGTCAGTGGTAACGCTCTATGAGGGTCAGTGAATGTATTGAATCTTGTTCATGTGGTTTTCATCCAGAAGCGCGTGGGTGCCTACAATGCGCGCCCCGCCATTTTGATAAACACCACCATATGGGTTACACGCTTTATACCCACACCAATCTTCTCCACATTTGCATGGCCAATTGTCACTGCCTTTCCAATCCATTACTCCTCCCTCTGCTACTTTTGCCTTGTCTTCTTGTCTTTCATCCCAGTGCACAACTAAGAAGATCACACGCCATATGCAATTCCTCGGCTCCACACAGAGGGGGTTTTGTCCGTTTTCCTGTCCTTCAACCAACATGTACCCAGCACAGGATTGTTTTCCCGGGGGAAGACAGGGAGGGAAGAGGAAAACAATAATAGAATTTCAAAACAAGATTCAGGAAGAAAGCTGTGCGGTCACTTTGATTAACTGTGCAGCAAATCAAGGTTTTTGTCCAGACGCATCTAAAAATCCATTGTAAACTGGGAGCAGGTGGCTCCCGCCTGTCATCCTAGCTACGCAGGAGGCTGAGAGCGGAGGATCATGGCTTGAAGCCAGCCTGCCAGGAAAGCCTGTGAGATGCTTAACTCCAATGAAAAGCTGAAAGTAAAGCTGTGGCTTAAATGGGAGAGAACTTCAGGGACAGCGTCCAGGACCTGAGTTCACGCCCCAGGACCAGCACTAAACAAACAAATAAACAAATAAAATACATTTTGAAAAATAAATATCTTTAGTACAGATAAGTATGAGTTGTGTGTGAATGTGTGTGTGTGTGCGTGTGAATGTGTGTGTGTGTGTGTGCGTGTGCGTGTGTGTGCATCTACTGGTACTGGGGCTTGAACTCACATCATGCTCTCCCCTGGCTATTTACCTCATGGCTAGCTCTCTACCACTTGAACAACAACTTCACTTCTGTGCGAGTTCACTGGAGGTAAGAGTCTCCTGGGCTTGTCTGCCTGGGCTGGCTATGAGCCGTGACCTTCAGATCTCAAACTCCTGAGTAGCTGGGATCACAGGTGTGAGCCATGAGGCCTCGGCAGGAATCTCACACACACACACACACACACACACACAAACACACACACAAACACACACACACACACACACACACACACACATGTCTGTCCTGGGGCTTGAATCAAAACTTAGACTCTCCAAGCTTTTAGGCAAAAGCCATAGCTCCACTTCTGGCTCTTTTTTTTAGAGATGAGTCTTACACACTTTCCTGCCTGGGTTGCCTTCGAATCTTGATCCTCAGATCTCAGCCTCCTGAGGAGCGAGGATGACAAACATCCCTGAGGTCCAGCAGGAATCTTTTTTTTGCTTTTATGTTTTTAGTGCACTGAAAATAACTACCAGGGTGTTTGGAACCCCTGCAGCTTGCAAGGAACTGGCTGTACAAATGCCAGAGCGAGCTTTCTCCACGAAAGCAATGGGTTGATGAACATTTTCGGGTGATCCGTCATCGACACTGATTTACGCTCTGTCCTCTGCCATCATTCAAAGAAATGCCACAGGACTCACAAGACAGTGAGAGTTGTTCTTAGGACTCAATCAACATTGGGATACCACGTGAAAGGTGACAACTTCTAGATCCTTCTAGCTCCTTCTAGGTCCTTCCTCGATCCCCCTTCTGGATCCTCACTAGCCACCAAATAATAAACCACTTTCAACCTACATGGGTCACAACACAGGAACCTGAGATAGATGTATAACTCTGATGAATGGCTTTTCACTTGTAATACATAAATAAATGAATGAATTTACACTCTACTCATAATTTCCGTAGGAACCGAGAGTTTCATTGAAAAACAAATAAGAACTTGTCACCGCATTTATCTATGCAGAGATGACAGATAGGGTCGGGTGAGATGAAGTGCTTTTAAAAAATTAAAATCATACCGCCAGCAAGAAAAACAACATGTTCGCTCTAGGTTTGCTCACATTTTAAGAAGATCGGGACTGGAATCTTGGCACTTATGACATTTAATCAAGGTAGTGTATACGTGCACTTATTAAATTATGTCTCAATATATCACGACGAGGGTTATGGGGAAATCACTTTGAACTACTTGGACATTGAGTCAGACTTAAATTTCCTATTTTATTTCCTATTTCGACTCCTCTTTGAAGCCATAAAATACATTAAATAACAACGACATACACTGTTTCTTATTTATATTTACTGCCTTGACTTAGTCCTGCAGGACTACTTCCAGTGTTCTTCACAGTTTATTGCAATTGTAATCTATTATCAACTGCTAAAAAATTTACTACGGATCAGATAAACTGCAGTATGTACTGAACACCAGCCTATTTTATCCTAAAATAGGGACGTTGTTCATCCTGCAAGATCGACGAAGAAAAAAGGCAAAGGACAGTAATTTCCACTGAAATAACCGACAAACAAAGCAGGAATCATCACTTTGGAAACAGAAACACACATTTTCACATTTTAGTGATCGCCCTACTTTTAACTGAGTTGCTTTCAAATTCACATGTGTACCAAACACACATGTCCCAGTGGTGTTCTATTGTAAGTCATTTTTTAAAGAATATATCCTATTACTCTATAACTTATTTAACAAGTTAACCGTAAGGCCAGGGACCAATGGCTCATAGCTTGTAATCCTAGCTACTCAGGAGACTGAGATCTGAGGATTGCTGTTTAAAGCCAGCCTGGGCAGAACATTCTGAGACTGATCTCCAATGAACTAGCAAAAAGCCAGTAGTGGCGCTGTGGCTAAGTGGTAGAGTGCCAGCCTTGAGTAGAAAAACCCAACTTGACAGCGCCCACATCCTGGATTCAAGCCCCCTCCCCAGTATAGGCACAAAAGAAAAAGAAATTAACCTGAATATTGTTTTTAATAATTTGGGTTGACCACAGGAACGCTCTCCAAAGAATCCAACTCATCCATTCCAAAAGGCCGGCTTCAAATCCGTGTGAAATGGGTGGGTGAAATTCTCCACGGGTGTGCAGCCCACCCTGCATGCTGCTTAATGCCAATTCAACACTAAAAACCGTAAAAGAAACATCCTACGTACCCCAGGGGATTGCTAACTCCTGGAAGGCAGGGACGTATGTGTCTTCATCTTTGGGTGGACACGGACAGCACAGCACCTAGGAAATGACACACACTCCATCACTGTGTTCCAATGAGGTAAGACAGGGTTGACTGCATCCATTGGGAAGATCAGGGTTCCACGCAAGAACCATTCTGTACATCCACCTTCTCCTGTATCCTCTATTATTAAAAAAAATATAGCAATGCACTTGGGAGTCCAATGTCATACTTGGAGGGGAGGGGACTAGGGGTTAAACTGAGGGTCTCCTGATTGTCAGGCAGGGGCTGTGGCCATTCTGCCTGCCCCTTTGTACCTCTGGCTGTGTTTTGAGACAAGATCTCGCTTCCGGGGCAGCCTGGACTACTTCGATCCTCCTGTTTGTACTTTCCCCCATGTCCCTGGGAGATGAGAATTGGGCATCACTGTGACCAGGCACAGCTGGAGAGTTGTACCAACAGACCGTGATCTCCGCATTTCTACCTTCCAAGTAGCCGGGATTACAGGCTTGAACCACATTACCTGAGAGAATGGACAGGGTTGGGAGAGATGGGGGGAACAAGGGAAGGAGTGACATTCCTCAAAATGTAGGGTTCAGGGCTGGGCAGGTGGCTCAGTGGTAGAGCGCTTGCCTCGCATGCATGAGGCCCTGGGTTCGATTCCTCAGCAACACATTAGAAAAAAGCCAGAAGTGGTGCTGTGGCTCAAGTGGTAGAGCGCTAGCCTTGAGCTGAAGAGCTGAGGGACAGCGCCCAGGCCCAGAGTTCAGGCCCCATGACTGACCAACAAAAACAACAAAAGGTATGATACCATAGGAGGGAAGGAGGAAGGAAGGAAGGAAGGAAGGAAGGAAGGAAGGAAGGAAGGAAGGAAGGAAGGAAGGAAGGAGGGAGGGAGGGAGGGAGGGAGGGAGGGAGGGAGGGAGGGAGGGAGGGAGGGAGGGAGGGAGGGAGGGAAGGAGGGGGGGGAGGGAGGGAGGGAGGGAGGGAGGGAGGGAGGAAGGAAGGGAAGGAAGGAGGGAAGGAAGGATCTTTTCAAAAGAAATCCTTATGCTAACTTATGATCTCTTGTTATATATTGGAGATCCTGTCTTCTGGTGTTAAGATAACAGATGTCCAAATTCTGTCCCTGCCACCTACTCTGTATTTACAAATCCTTGGCCCAACAGGTTGATCTTGGTACAATCCGACTGACTGGAAAACAAGATCATTGTAGTATCTTCCCAATGACGTGGTCAGAAGGATAAAAGAAGAGAAGGCTCAGCCTGTGACCTAACACACAGACAATACTTGTCCAAAGAGAACTGGCCTTTGCCTTCAGTGCTCATCTCCCTGAACTCAAATTGCCATAGGATTATCTTTGATTGCCTGGGGTACTGTGGAGAATCATCAATCTACTATTGTGATTTAGGAGGAGGGAAATTGAACTGTGTAGTATCGGCTTTGTCTTCCGTTTGGGATGGAAACAAAGTGTTTCAGGTCAGCATCAACACTGAGCACTGGATGGGAGCAAAACCCCAAAGGCTGATGGGAATATCTTACATTTGTCATGCACAAACCCATCAGCCCATGAATATGTAACATACATCCTGAAAACAGAAGCTCTGGGGGGGGGGGGGTGTGTTTGTGTGTGTGTGTGTCTGTGTGTGTGGTGTGTGTGTGTGTGTGTGTGTGCTTATGTGTCAGTCTTGGGGCTTGAACTCAGGGCCTGGATGTGGTCCCCAAGCTTTTATGCTCAAGGCTGCTGCTCTTCCACTTGATCCACAGCTCCCCTTCTGGCTTCTTGATGGTTCATGGGAGATCAGAGTCTCATGGATGTTCCTGCCCAGGCTGGCTTCGAACTGTGATCCTCAGATCTCAGTCTCTTCGAGTAGCTGGGAGGATAGACGTGAGCCATCGGCACCTGGCTGGATCCTTCCCATCTTCTACGTTAACAAACAGGCATTTGACTACCTCCAGGTGTGTCAGTGCTATTCTGGAAATTCAATCTATGCTAGCTGCTCAGTGTTCTCAGAGAAGTCACGCGATCTTTCAGGATATGGAGTTAATGCCATTAAAGGGCTGGCTTACCCCATTTCCGAAGCTACATCCAGCGGTAACCTTCCCATCTCAATTAAATGGTAATCTCCAGTCACACTCTAATCTTTGTATAGAATGAATGTAGGCACAAAGACCTTAGATGACTTGTCAGTTATAATAGGAGAATTGGTAGCATAAGGAAGGAGACAGATTATCAGCGAGACCTGGCTGATCAAGAATAATAAATAGTAAGAAACAAATGCTTTCTTCTGTGTGTTTCATAGTATTTAATGAAAGAAAGCACCCTGCTGATAACTTTACATGCATTATCTGGTTTAATTTTCATAGCAGTTCTGGAGGAGGGAAAAAAAACTCCTTTCATAATATCTATATTACAAGTAAGAAAACCAACACACACACACACACACACACACACACACACACACACACACAGTTACAAGAGTTCAAAGGCAACACAGTACAAACTAAAAAGTAGATGCAGCCAGGTGCTGGTAGCTCATGCCGGTAATACGAACTACTACTAAAGAGGGTGGTTCATTGGAGATAAAGAGTTTCATAGCTTTTCCTGCCCAGGCTGGCTTTGAACCATGATCCTCAGATCTCAGCCTCCAGAGTAGCTAGGATGACAGGTGTGAGCCACTGGCGCCCAGCCCAAAAACTATTTGCAGAGTAAAACTTTTGTCTAAAATCACCTAGAGGAGGCCTAATTCACATCACCATTTCTGAAACAAACAAAACACTTAATTAACTGCCAGGATAAGTAATGGATTGAAGTGTCCTGTCATGAGATCAGAGGGGCCTGACGGTGAGTCTGTGAATGCTGTGAATCATTTCTTCATTTCATCGGGCAGATCAAACAAAAATGGCGTATTGAAGGACAGCGTCTGAGATCATCGATCTCTCTCTCTCTCTCTTTCTCTCTCCATTTCTCACTGTGTTTCTCCGCTGTCTTCAGATACTTTGGGAAAGACGCTCCTGGCTGCGATTTTTCTTTTCTCCTTTCACTCTCTGGGGTGTGATCTTATGCCTCAGTTTCCACCTGTGGGCATGCCGGCGATGATCCCCCTCCTCATACGGTCCGGCTACAGTTAAATTGATCACTGCCCAGCTACAGTTAAATTGATCACTGCCCAGCACACTCTGGGAGCTGTTCTTGGCACAGACCGCTTCAAGTGTCTTCATTATAATAGCAATCACACTTTGGGTAAATAAAGGGGTCAGGTAATCAATAAGTACTTAGCACCCAAGCAAAGAGACCATAAAAGGCTCGCTCATCGCTTTTGATGTGTTCCAGACTTGCAGCTACAACCTACATCCATGGCTCCCTTCTGCCTCTCAGCCTGAAAGCCCAGTGAGATAAATCTGTGTCAAAACCAGAGGCGCAGGAAATGCTGAATGGAGAGCTCACTAGCACAATGTGCCAGGCCGAGTTCCTGACGTCCATCTTGGTGCCACCATTGGATGTCTGTCAGTGAGCAGAAGAGACTTTGTAGCTAGACAGAGGACGCAGAAGACAGATGCTCACCGAAACCTGGCTGATTCTTACGCTAGGTGTCTCGGGCTTCTGTCTGTTCATCTCGGGAGGCTGAGTTCTGGGGGATCCCGGTTCAAAGCCAGCCTGGGCAGGAAAGCCTGTGAGACTCTGATCTCCAAGGAACCACACAAAAAGCCAGAAGCGAAAGAATGGCTCAAGTGGTAGAGTGCTAGCCTTGAGTAAAATAAGGGACACTTCCCAGGCCCTGAGTTCAAATCATGATCTTCTCCCATTCACTTTCCTTCCAATGGCTTTCTGGCTTGGGAATATTTCTGGAGTTTCTTGAAACTTCATGAATTGAGGTCAAAGGGCAGATTATATATATATATATATATATATATATATATATATATATAATTTTAAAGAAGCGTTTTTCCCCTTTGGTGCCAGTCCTGGGGCTTGAATTCAGGTCTCAGCACTGTCCCTTTTCCACAGTGGAGCCACACCTCCACTTCTGGCTTTTGTTTTGTTTTTTTAGGGGAGGGATAGTTTATTGGAAATAAGAGCCTCACAGATTTTCTTTCCCCAGGCTGGCTTTGAACCATGAACCTCAGATCTCAGCCTCCTCTGTAGCTAGGATTAAAAATAAAAATACATTCACCAAACTATTTTATTTTGGTACCGTTTTGCATTAGGTTTTCTGCCACGTACTAACTAATATACGTATATATAATATATAATTATATATATACGTATAATTTACAGCTCAGTCTATTGGGGTGAAGAATAAGAGAAAAGACCCGTTACTCTGTCTTTGGCGTAGCCTGCTGATGCTTGTTTAAGTGATATGTGCTTTGTGTGTGTGTGGTACGCTCTCTCTCTCTCTCTCTCTCTCTCTCTCTCTCTCTCTCTTTCTCTCTCTCCCCCTAGTACTGGACTTTGAACTCAGGTCCTGGGCGCTATCCCTAAACCTTTTCACTGAAGGTAGACATTCTACCACTTGAGCCACAGCTCCACTTTGCACGTACAGCTAAGAGTCACATTTTCCTGCCCTGCCTGGCTTTGAACCGTGATCCTCAGATCTCAACCTCCCGAGTCGTTTGGATTACAGGCGTGAGCTGCTGGTGCCCGTCGGAGGATCTTACCTCCCCTGGAGGGAATGGAGTGTTGCTTTAAAATGACTTCATGCTCCTATTTACATATTTTTAATAGGGCTATGATGAATCTCCTTCCGCTTGACTCCTATTTTGAGCTGTGATATTTTAATCTCCATTCTTGCTGCAACTTTAGCAGATGAATGTACTCCGTGACAGAGCTCAGAGGAAATAGTATAAATAAAGCAAAGTGGAACTATGACATCTCACATTTTATAGCTTTTTTATTGTAGCCCGGGCATAAACAGAGCACAGCTGTGTTATACTTACCGCTGGGAGCCCTCCCCTCAATGCTCACCCCCTACTGCTTTTAAAAAGACAGGGTTCTAATATTCCCAAAGCTTGGGCTGTGGATGGATAGCTGCTTC